ACATCTTAAAGAACTAGAGAAAAAGCAACAAACAACACCTAAGCCACGCATTAGAAGAGAAATAATTAAAATTAGAGCAGAAATCAATGAATTAGAAACCAGAAACACAGTAGATCAGATCAATGAAACTAGAAGTTGGTTCTTTGAAAGAATTAATAAGTTGATAAACCACTGGCCAGACTTATCCAAAAGAAGAGAGAAAGGACCCAAATTAATAAAATTATGAATGAAAGGGGAGAGATCACGACCAACACCAAGGAAACAGAAACAATTATTAGAAATTATTATCAACAACTATATGCCAATAAACTGAGCAATCTGGATGAAATGGAGGCCTTCCTGGAAACCTATAAGCTGCCAAGACTAAAACAGCAAGAAATTGACAACCTGAATAGGCCAATAACCAGTAACGAGATTGAAGGAGTGATCAAAAACCTCCCAAAAAACAAGAGTCCAGGGCCTGATGGATTCCCTGGGGAATTCTACCAAACATTCAAAGAAGAAATAATACCTATTCTACTGAAGCTGTTTCAAAAAATAGAAACAGAAGAAAAACTTCCAAATTCATTCTATGAGGCCAGCATTACCTTAATCCCCAAACCAGGCAAAGACCCCATCAAAAAGGAGAATTTCAGACTGATATCCCTGATGAATATGGATTCCAAAATCCTCAACAAAATCCTAGCTAATAGGATCCAACAATACATTAAAAGGATCATCCACCACGACCAAGTGGGATTTATCCCCGGGATGCAAGGGTGGTTCAACATTCGCAAATCAATCAATGTGATAGAACACATTAATAAGAGGAGGGAGAAGAACCATATGGTCCTCTCAATTGATGCAGAAAAAGCATTTGACAAAATACAACATCCTTTCCTGATTAAAACTCTCCAGAGTATAGGGAGAGAGGGAACATTCCTCAAGCTCATAAAATCCATCTATGAAAACCCACAGCAAATATCATCCTCAATGGGGAAAAGCTGAGAGCCTTTCCCTTAAGATCAGGAACACGTCAAGGGTGCCCACTCTCACCACTGTTGTTCAACATAGTACTAGAAGTCCTAGCAACAGCAATCAAACAACAAAAAGAAATAAAAGGTATTCAGATTGGCAAAGAAGAAGTCAAACTCTCTCCCTTCGCAGACGACATACTTTATGTGGAAAACCCAAAAGACTCCACCCCCAAATTACTAGAACTCACCCAGCAATTCAGTAATGTGGCAGGATACAAAATCAATGCACAGAAATCAGTTGCTTTCCTATACACTAACAACGCAACTGTAGAAAGAGAAATTAGAGAAACGATTCCATTTACAAATAGCACCAAAAACCATAAGATACCTCGGAATAAACCTAACCAAAGAGGTAAAGGATCTATACTCTAGGAACTACAAAACACTCATGAAAGAAATTGAAGAAGACACAAAAAGAGGGAAAAATATTCCATGCTCATGGATTGGAAGAATAAACATTGTTAAAATGTCTATGCTACCCAGAGCAATCTATACCTTCAATGCCATCCCGAGCAAAATTCCCATGACGTTTTTCAAAGTGCTGGAACAAACAATCCTAAAATTTGTATGGAATCAGAAAAGACCCCGAACCGCCAAGGAGATGTTGAAAAAGAAAAACAAAGCTGGGGGCATCACATTGCCCGATTTCAAGCTGTATTACAAAGCAGTGATCACCAAGACAGCATGGTCCTGGCACAAAAACAGACATAGAGACCAATGGAACAGAATAGAGAACCCAGATATGGACCCTCAACTCTATGGTCAAATCATCTTTGACAAAGCAGGAAAAAACATGCAATGGAAAAAAGACAGTCTCTTCAATAAATGGTGCTGGGAAAATTGGACAGCCACATGCAGAAGAATGAAACTCGACCATTCTCTAACACCATTCACAAAGATAAACTCAAAGTGGATGAAAGACCTCAATGTGAGACAGGAATCCATCCAAATCCTAGAGGAGAACATCGGCAGTAACCTCTTTGACATCGGCCTCAGCAACTTCTTTCAAGACACATCTCCAAAAGCTAGTGAAACAAAAGCAAAAATGAACTTTTGGGACTTCATCAAGATCAAAAGCTTCTGCACAGCAAAGGAAACAGTCAACAAAACAAAGAGGCAACCCACAGAATGGGAGAAGATATTTGCAAATGACACTACAGATAAAGGGCTTGTATCCAAAATCTATAAAGAACTTCTCAAATTCAACACCCAAAAAACAAATAATCAAGTCAAAAAGTGGGCAGAAGAGATGAACAGACACTTCTCTGAAGAAGACATACAAATGGCTAACACACATGAAAAAATGTTCATCATCATTAGCCATCAGGGAAATTTAAATCAAAACCACATTAAGATACCATCTTACACCAGTTAGAATGGCAAAAATGGACAGGGAAAGAAAGAACAAATGTTGGAGAGGTTGTGGAGAAAGGGGAACCCTCTTACACTGTTGGTGGGAATGCAAGTTGGTACAGCCACTTTGGAAAACAGTGTGGAGGTTCCTCAAAAATTTAAAAATAGAGCTACCCTATGACCCAGCAATTGCACTGCTGGGTATTTACCCCAAAGACATAGATGTAGTGAAAAGAAGGGCCATATGCACCCCAATGTTCACAGCAGGAATGTCCGCAATAGCCAAACTGTGGAAAGAGCCGAGATGCCCTTCAACGGATGAATGGATAAAGAAGATGTGGTCCATATATACAATGAAATATTACTCAGCCATCAAAAGAGATGAATACCCAACTTTTACATCAACATGGATGGGACTGGAGGAGATTATGCTAAGTGAAATAAGTCAAACAGAGAAAGTCAATTATCACATGGTTTCACTTATTTGTGGAACATAAGGAATAACATGGAGGACATTACGAGGAGGAAGGGAAAAATGGGCGGGGGGAATTGGAGGGAGAGATGAACCATGAGAGACTATGGACCTGAGAAACAGAGTTTTAGAGGGGAGGGGGGAGGGGGGATTGGTCAGCCCGGTGATGGGTATTAAGGAGGGCACGTACTGCATGGAGCACTGGGTGTTATACAAAAACAATGGATCGTGGATCACTACATCAAAAACCAATGATGTATTGTATGGTGACTAACATAATATTATAATAAAAAAAAAAAAAACAGGGGCAGGGACACAAACAGGAGCAAATAAAAGCTTTTTATTCACTTTGAGTTATCAATAAAATGACACCTCACACTTGAAAAATTCCACTGTAAAATTCAGGTTTTACCATGAAAATGTGTTTCATGGATGAGTCTGTCAAAATGTATTTCGAAACACAAAGAAAATACTAGTTACATGCTCAAAACCTAACTAACTGAGATACACATGTGGAAATGGAACTTCTCATCACTAGGTATATGGCCGATGATGGAGGAGGCTCCATGTTTGGCCCTTTCTGCCCGTCCTCCCAGATGTCCTCAAAAGGTCAGATTCTCTGGGTAACAGAAGAATGACAAATTTCAGATGCTGCTGTTCAAAGTTTTCCATAAATTTAAAAAGCCACCTCCTGCTCTTCTTTCAGATAATATAAAAAATAAGTCACACAGTTGACTCAGATTCAAGAGGCCCAGAGCAGAACACAAAGCTTTATAGAAAGCGACGGTTTACACAGAAGACATCTAGGGAAATGCATTTTACAACAAGCACATTGGGGGACTTTTAGCAACAGATGACATCTCCACCCGGCGCTGCGTACTCACACAGGACACGGCACGCCACCAGGACTGAGGTCAGAGCCCGCAGAGCGAGGGCAGGCCCACAGAGCGGCTCCCAGGACGCACTGGCCCACTTTCTGTCCGACTTCCTCTTGGTGTTCGTGGCTCAGTTTCACTTAGATGTTACACAATCACACTGTCATGTTATATAATCGCAACCCTTTCGTTATCGCTGCCCTTCACATACGAGGGCCCGGCAAAGACTTCTGTAACACTGAGGCAGATAGGAAAAACCGGCGCTACAGGAACGACAAAGTCTGCTCACTTACTGAAATCAATCAAGTAGGTCTAGCTTACTCTTTATTAATAAAGATGACTTTTAATAAAAAAACATAATTTAATTCAAACAAAAAAGTACAAAATGTAGCACGCGCTCACAGCTTCACTTACAGTCCTGGGAACACACGCGGCACCCCCAGCAGTGCGGGTCAGCGACCCCCCGGGGACAGCAGCACGGCTCGGGCAGAGGGAGCGAGGCTGCCCGCGGGCCAGCGCCGCCTCCGTCCGGACGGGGCTGCAAGGAAATACGGACAGCGCACAAAGCCCAGCACTCCGGATACGGTCTGAGGCTGTTACTACTGGACAGTCCAATTTGGATTTTAATACGATCAACTTACAGATCGGAAATAAAAGCACTGCTTGGTGGTTTCAGATGCATTCTGGTATCAAGTATGTTTCCAGGCATCTTTACACACAATAAATTACAACAATAAAGAAGACAGCCTGTGACCAACAGCTTCTTCTATGGACAGGGGAGGTGACCACGACTGCTGTCAGCGACAATTCATGGATTAGAAGTCAAAACAACCTCTAGATTTCTTCGAAACAAGCAAAACTAGCACACACAGGAGTATTTAATAAAAGCTTACTGGTCTAACAACCCTTCCACATGGAAGGAAATACAAAATAAAGCTGACATATCAAATCTAACTTTCGGTAATAAGCTTCAGGCCACTTTGCCAACTCTCTGCACAACCGCCTAGTATCAAATATGCTTTGATTCTGGATGGCTAAAGCCACACACACACACACAGTTGTGTGAACCTACAGCTTTATTGACACCTTTCAGTAAGCTCTTAATACTCATATTTTCATGGGTTCACGCCTTGTAATGAATTTGAGTTGTAGATAATCAACTTCCAGCCAAACCAAATTAAGAATATTGTATCTTCCACACATGGGCTCAAGTAGGAAGCTTTTGTTTAGTATAATGAGAACTTAAATTTTTAAAAATATCTGCAGTCTTTTTGAAACACAAGGCACCAAGAGGGAGCAGACATTCCAGCAAAGAGTGATTGTCTGGGGAAAAAAAAATGGAACTGATCAGAGTCCTTTGTCCTTTGTTGATTAGAATACTTCCTTCTTTCACGTCTATGCAACATCTTCCAGATAATCCGCAATGTCACTGAGCTGGGACACAGTCAGGTCCTGTGTCAGGTCATCAAGCTTGGTTATTCAAAAGAAAAAAAAAGAACCAGTATCAGAATGCAGAGTCAAACAATTCTTAAAATACATTGCTATAATTTAAATATCTTATACTCTACAAACTGCTTCATATTCTGAAGTCCTCTACCTCACCTTCTTCCTATTTTGAAATCTGTGAGAATTACCCAAAGACTGAGCTAATAGCAGAACTCTACATTAACAACAACACAAAAACCTGCTAAAATAACCCGTCTGGAGCCCCTCTGGTAACTTTAACGCAGCACACCGTGGCCCCTGAGGCCGGCATGAGGTGCCAGGTAAGAGGCAGACCGTGGAGGCTGACCACGTGTCGGGAGTTCTCACTCAACCTCGCCAACAATCCTGGGAGGCAGGCATTCCCACTTCCACTGCACAAACAAACCAGCCAAGGACTGAAGGTTAAAGCCTGCCTAAGAACCACAGTCCATGAAAGAACACGTGCCCAGATGTTTGCTGGCTCAGACGTGCTTTCATTATTAACATTTCATTTCATTTCATTATAACACCATAATGAAATAATAGAACATTTCATTATAACCCCTCTCAAAGGCCTTCCTGTCTGCTAATCCCTTGATGGTCACGAGCACTCCCTGCTCATTCTGGAAAGCAACGTTCACCTCCAGGCTGTAAGGACCTATGACCCGAGAGGCCCTCGCCTGACCGGGCTGCAGCTTTCTGTGGGCACGACAGGAGATCCCAAGAGGCTCCCTGGCCTCTCCTGACACACATCAAAGTATACGCCGCTGTCTGCCTAATAAAAAGGTCGTATGTGGACCTCCGTGCCGGACTCCTCACTGTACAGCCTGCGTCCACTTCTGCTGTACCGTCCCCACGGGCTGAGCTGACCTGCCCGCTGAGACGCAGCTTCACTGCCTCTCTTACACCTGCGCCAGTTTCTATCCTGACTTCTCCAAACAGGACGACTTGCTTCTGCTGACTACACCACCGGGTGGCCAGTTCGGACTCCAGAGCCGGGGCCAGGACTTTGTTAAAGCTCTGCAGTCCACCACTGCAAGAGACTCGGGCACACGCAGCACTCCCCGGGCAGCGCCCGCACCGTACTTTATCACTGGTATTGAGGTCGTCGATTTCCACAGAAAGATCTTCTTCGATCTCTTCACCAATACTCAGCTCACTTTTCTCTGAGCGATGGCTGGTACTAGTTTGAGAGAAAGAAAAGAAAAAAGAACGCTGAATATAAACATTTAAATAAAATATAATAAAATGATATTAAATCTCATGAATTTCATACACATTATCTCACTTGATCCTTAAAGTAACTTAGTGAGCCACAAACAGGCGAGTCACTTCAAGAGACTAGAAAACGAAGATCCATAAAGGTGACCGTGGCCACAAGATCAAGGAAGATGCAAACCCAGATTTTTACTATTTCATCTACTACATCATGCCACTCCTCAAAAAAAAAACTGTTTAATAAATTAGTGGTTTTTTTAAGATCTTATTTATTTGAGAGAGAAAGAATGAGACAGAGAGAGAAAGCATGAGAGGGGGGAGGGTCAGAGGGCGAGGCAGACTCCCTGCTGAGCAGGGAGCCTGACGCAGGACTCGATTCCAGGACTCCAGGATCATGACCTGAGCTGAAGGCAGTCGCTTAACCAACTGAGCCACCCAGGTGCCCAATAAATTATTCTGTTAAAAAATAAACATAGGGCGCCTGGGTGGCTCAGTCGTTGAGCGTCTGCCTTCGGCTCAGGTCATGATCCCAGAGTCCTGGGATCGAGTCCCACGTCGGGCTCCCTGCTCGGCAGGAAGCCTGCTTCTCGCTCTCCCACTCCCCCTGCTTGTGTTCCTGCTCTCGCTCGCTCTCTCTCTGTCAAATAAATAAATTAAAAAATCTTTAAAAAAATAAATAAATAAATAAACATAAATTCCCAATTGGGGGAAGAAAAAAAACCTGTCAATTGTATAAAATTCTCAGACTCTAATTTAAAATTTCTAATCGTATCCATAACAAATATTATTTCCAAACTATTAGGCAACTCATAGGATTATACTGTCCTTATGTATGTAAAAAAGTGGTCTGAAACAAAGTATTAAGTGATGTCATCTGAATCAGAACAATAACTGGAGAGGGCCATTTTTAAAGTTGTGTGTGCCTCCCCCCCTTCCCCACCACCGCATTTAGGGAGAGCACATGGATCCCGACGACCTGACACCTCTGAGCGACTCTGCGTCCCTTCCTTGGGGCCTCTGCTTGACCCATTCTTATCAAGCTTTCTGGACATGACGCATTTGTTCACATTCTAATGCGAAACCGAAACAGGTTTCAAAGTCCAGTGTATAATCCTGGATTAACTGTCTTCTCTCCATCTGCAATCAGTACGAACAGGAGAGTCTAATACACTAAAATGAGCACAAATGGAATTCTGTCCTACTTCCTGTGTCAGAAACTGTTTACACTGTATTTGTTGCCCAACTATGTTTCTCACCTATTAAAATCATCAACGTAGTCATCTTCTTCTCCAGTCCCTGTTAAGTTTAAGAAAAGATATGTTATGTTTATACCAACATGCTCCACAATTTATCTGCGATCACACACACACATTTCCTTCAGGAAAAACTACATTAATGAATTATATTGCAGCAGTAAAAAAGAAGTCGCCAGGATCAGAAATAGTATTTTTAACATATGTGATATGAAAGCAAATGACCAAATAAATTGCCTAGGAAACAATAAAATGTCATAAAATGTAGTTAATACCCGGTCTTTTATTCCAAGTCTCTAAAAGCTTAATTGCATTATATGTTTACCATTTATAAAGTCATCTGATATTAAATGATATTATATTCATAAGAGCAAGTCATCGTAACTGTTACTGACACTTTTTTTTTTAAAGGTTTTTTATTTGTCAGAGAGCGAGAGAGTGAGCGAGAAATAGCAAGAGATCGAGCATGAGCAGCTGGGAGAGGGAGAAGCAGGCTCCCTGCTGAGCAGGGAGCCAGATGCAGGACTCGATCCCAGGACCTGGGATCATGACCTGAGCCGAAGGCAGATGCTTAACCAACTGAGCCACCCAGGTGTCCCGTCCCTGTTACTGATACTTTCAACTCAACATAGTATATAAAATTTCAAAGTATCACGAAGTGTGAAGAGGCTACAGAGCAAAGCAAACAGGAGCATCTCACTCAGTGAGACGCAACGGGGTTCAAATCCCAGCTCTCCCTCTGAAGAGCTGTCAGCCCGTGGGAGAACTAGGTAACCTTCCTTGGCCGTTTCCTCAGCTGTGAAGATGGCCAAACCCACACCAAACAAACACAGGGCTCGCGTCAGGATCCATACGTGCGAAGTGCTGGACCCAAGCCTGGGACACGGTCTGCTCTCCACAGAAGGCCACGGGACGAGCAAGGGCTGCAGACGAATGGAGCAGCGTCACCAGCGTCTGACCGTGCAGCCCGAGCACCTGAAGACTTCCAAATCACCCTCCCCCTCCACATCACCTGAGGAACAGGGGAAGGCCCCCGAGAGCCATCTTCCAGGGACGGCCGGCACGGGGAGGACACACGGCCATGTGTGTGGCTGCCAGAGGAAGAGTGCAGACCGTGAAGAGGAGGCCCGGCTCAGCGGCCGGCAGGGCTTGGAGAACCCTGGATGCTCGTGAGTCCCTCCAAGTGTCAGACCAGACTATGTCTACACAGACACATCCCTGAGGGCATTTAAGTTCTAGACTAGTCAGACAAGTTGATCGTCTTCCGATAAAGCCCATGATTACTTTATCCATTTGTCAAATATGTGTGCGACTCCCAGGACCCCTGAAGTACCAGAGTAAGCAGTGTTTCTAGCCTCAAGGAGCGCCAGTGGAAAGAAAGAGGCAGCCGACAGCCAGACAAACCAGATGCTGTTAGAGAGCCTGGAGAGAACTCTCTGAGGGAAAACCTAAAGAAGGTACCAGACATACAAATTATTGGGGAACGTGGGTTCCCACAAGAAACACATGCAAAGGTCCGGAGACAGGAAGGGTGCAGTGGTTTGGAAAACAGTGAGGACACCAATACACCCTCAAAATAATGAGTCTGAGGGGTGGAGGGGGAGACAAGAGGAGGGAAGAGTAGAAAGGCTGGCAGGGGCCACCGAAGGCCTAGAACGTCATGCTCAGGACTTTAACCAAAGTGCAAAGGGGGAAGGGCAAGAGTGGAAGAGAACAGGGAAGTGATGTGTAATTTCCATTTTCTGTAACATCCAATTCCTGCAGGAAGAAGTGCGCTGGGGGGAGGGGGCACGCCTGGGTGGTGTCAGCTGAGCGACTGACTCGGTTTCGGCTCAGGTCATGATCTCAGGGTCATGGGATGGAGCCCCACATCTGGCTCCGCACTCAGTGGAGAGTCTGCATGAGATTCTTTCCCTCCTCCTCTATCCCTCCCACCACTCACGCACTCTCTCAAATAAATCTTAAAAAAAAAAGTGACTGCCTTTGCACAAACTGTCGTCAGTGTGGGCTGAAACCTCTCCCCTTAGCCCTGACCCATCAGGTCCTGGCAGAGAAGTCACTTCCTAGGTGAGGCCTTTCCGGAATGCCTAGGCTAGGGTAAGTCACCCTACTATCCATTTTCACACCACTGCATATGGACTCTCAACTCCAAGTATCTGTAGGGCCCTGTCTGATGCAGATCTTCCCTACTAGAATCCGAGCTCCACAAGGAAAGTCTGTTGTGGTTGGCTGTTTTATCCACCCCTGGCATATGGAGTAAGCCTGGATTCACGAAGACCATCCAAACCATCTAATTACAAAGTGCTCACTGTAGGAGGCTAAGCCACTTCAATTTAGATTTTATTCTAAAAAATAATCACCTTCGGGCCATCAATGCTAAAATTAGAAATCTAGTTACCTAATCCAAGTGATCCAATTTTATCATTGACCAATTTCAGATCTTTCAAAACTGTGTTTCCTCTTTTACCTGTGAAGAAAAACATTCACATAAATTGACTTTGAGAATACAACAATCTCTAAACTGTACCACTTTTCTTCAGCATAGGGTTTATGACTAAAACGTCCAAACCAAACACCAAGAAAGAATTACAAGCTCTGATGATGCTGACGTCATGCACTGCACACCCTTGGTCACCACACGTAAACATGTAGTCTTTACTGGAACCTGACCACCAAAATACTTTCTGGCCCAACTATCCGGCGTCACCATCATAACAAGCCTCACCGGGTATGAGTTAATTACTCTCATCAATTTTACTTTCCTCTGAACTTCTCAATGTTGCTTTAATTCAATTGCTATTCCATTTACCCAACTGACCTCACTGGTTTTATTTCTTCAGTCCCAAGTGCTCAATGTCCTGTCCACATCATTCTTCCCTGACCAGTGTTAAGAGTGATGTGATCATGACATGCTAGACTCCTACTGCAGGTGACAAAGACCAGGAGAAAGGACAAGAGGGAAACTGATGGGGCGCATTAGCAAACATGTGGCAAGTTTGCCAGACGGCTAAAAGCAGCCACACATCATCTCCTTCGCCTGTCCCGGCAAATCCTACTGCCCCAACACATGACGTAGAAAGGTTAATAAATACTGCAAAATTACACAAATTCATACCACAATTTCCTAATAAAGATCTGCTTTTTAGGAAATGTTCTCAAAAGAGGCACATTTATGCTGTGAACACGCTGTCGAGGAAATCTACATTTACTATGATACAGTAAGTGAAGTTCACGCACATATCTCCGTGTTTAAGGCTGTGCTTTCGAATCCTTGGTCTTGGTGCCATCTGTGTGTGGGGAGGGGGTAGGAAGTAAACTGTAGTCGTATGGCCATTCCATGTCTGCCTGACACCCCACCTCTCTGCTACACGTAAACACATCAGATTCATACCCCAAAGAATGAAATCTCGCCATTTGCACAACATAAATAGAGCTACAGAGTATAACGCTGAGTGAAGTCAGTCAAAGACAGACAAATACTGTATGACTTCACTGGAATGTGGAATTTAAGAAACAGGTGATGGGGATTAAAACATACACGTATCATGATGAAAAAATATTTTAAAAAATCAAACATACCTGTACTTCTGAAACAAATAATACATTATATGTTAAAAAAAAAAAAAAAGAAGATAGCAGGAAGGGAAGAATGAGGGGGGGAAATCGGAGGGGGAGACGAACCATGAGAGACTATGGACTCTGAGAAACAAACAGGGTTTTAGAGGGGAGGGGGATGGGGGGGATGGGTCAGCCTTGTGATGGGTATTAAGGAGGGCATGTACTGCATGGAGCACTGGCTGTTATACGAAAACAATGAGGAACACTACATCAAAAACTAATGATGTAAAGTATGGTGATTAACATAACATAATAAAAAAAAAGTAAAATAAACCTACTATCCTGAGTCAAAAAAAAAAAAAAATCAAAACATACACACAAGAAGAAAGTGATGCCACTATCCAAAGTAGAATAAAAAAGATAAAACAGATCCAATAGCTAAAAGATGAATATTTTAACATTCGTATGATAATTACTGTGGTATCACAGAATCTAAAAAACAAGTTCTTAAGAACTGAATTTAAATCCTACTCAAATCAATCTAAATGTCCAACAACAGAGAAAGGACTTAAAAATGTTTACTGTATAAGGCAGGTAAAAACTCAATTTCCTAAAAAAAAGTATTTTGATGGCACAGGAAAAACAAGACAAAACGATGAAGTGAACACAACCTTATTAAAGAGCAAAGAACAGGAACTATCACTGGTAAAATTATGGGCTTTTCCTGAACAATAAACAATGACCACATAGCATTTAAGAGAAAACACATCCTGAGTCCTCCAAGTCCGTGTCTTCAGTAAGGAGACCCGGGGGCTTCCAGGCACTCACTTTCAGAGTCTTTCAATGAGGGGGCTCCGGTAAGGGAGCTGAGTCCACTTTTCAAGGGGGGCGCGTCAGAGAGTGATGCAAGGCTTCCTGCTTGCTTACTAGGCTCATTTCTCCTAACAAGAAACAAGCGTACAGTTAAAGGTCACACTTACGTTCGGCCACTAAGACATAAGCAACGTGAATACACCGTACATGCACACTACACAGTGCTGGGAAAGACAGGTTATACACTTCATAGACTCAAAACCATCAAGCATACCTACAAGGCGAGGCAGGCTGAGTGTCATCACAAATCCACGGGGCAAGTTATCAGTGAGAAATCCGCTCAGCTCCCAAATGATATCGCTGTTTGCCATCTTCAGTGTCCGTGACTTTTATCAGAGGCCCCTTCCAGCGCCCAGCAATGCAGGCAGGGGACAGCACAGGTGACCCGCGCAGCCATGTTGTGGGGAAGAGGCACCACAGCCCCAGCAGCTGATCTCCCCAACAGCCCTGCGCTCTGCCCTCCTGCGCACCCCCTCCCGCCACTTCCTACCTCTCAGAGGCCTCCTCTCCAACCCTGCCCTGCACCCCCCACTCAGGTGGGAACCTTCATAGGCTGCTGCCCGCACACCCCCCCCACCTGCCCACAGTGCGCCCACACCTCCCTCCTTCCAGCAGCCTCGCAAGGGGGTGCTCTGCGCCCCCAAGCACAGCAACCCCTGCACATCACTCGTCTCCTCTCTTAACGCAGGACTGTTCTCAGCAGACATGCGCACTGTGATTTCCCGCTATTTTTCCCCCACACCCCTGAACAACACAACTCACCAGAAAAGCACTCCCCACCTACAATCCCCCCAATCCTTTCCTAAACCCATTCTAATCCTTTGATACCCTGTCCCCTACCCACCCCCAACCCACAATCCCATCATCCCTGCCTCCAAGCTGCCGTGCGCCGTGGCCGACTTTCAGAACTTAGCTCAAGGACTCACTCTGGCCTCCTCCTTCCAGAACACCTCTCCTGGGTCCTCTCGGTCCCCTTCCCTCTTCCTCCTCCTCCCCTCGCTCATCTCCAGGTGCCACTCACTTCCCAGGTGACCACCCCTAGGCTCCACTGGCAGCAGGATCGAACACGGAAACCTCTCCCCTCATGCCCAGACCCCTTCCCTGCAGCCGGCTTCACCGTGCGTTAGCAACCTTCCCACACCTGACCCATCAGAAGTGAGCTCTAGACTGTCACCTGGCCCACCTGTGCAGCCCAACCCTGCTCTCCATGCTTCACCTGTCAGTGGTGTTTTCCACCTTCTGGTTGCTCAGCTGAAAACCCTGAACTTCCCCTGATGTCACTGTATTCTTTAACACTTAACAACAAATCCTTTTGGATCTAACCTCAAAAGACATCCCCAAACCATCTATTTCTCACCACTTTTGCCGTCATCTTTCACCTGGAGAAGAATCCTGACAGCTCCCAGCTGGAGACCCAGCAGCCCAGTGAGCCAGTCACTCTGCTGCTCAGACCCTGGGGCCCCCAGTGTCCCTCGGGGTAAAGCCCCACTCCTGCTAGAGTCAGCACCGCCCCGACCGGAGTCGGCTCCACAACGCCCCCCAGCCGTTCTCTGACCTGTCGCTCACCTCTGCCTGCGCTGCTTGGAGCTCTGGTATCCGCCGGGCTGACTCTCTCACAAGCTTGGGCTCTTTGCTCAACCAGCCCCTCGAAGGCACGCCCTCCCTGACCTAACGCTATCACGGAAGAGCACGCACCTCCACACGCTCACCCGCCCCCGCCCCTGCTCCGACCCGTCACTCTGGCTGCATCCACCCAGCACAGCGTGTGGGGATTCTCACTTCTCGCTGCCTCTGCCCACAGGCCTGTAAGCTTCTGAAGGCAGGGGCTCTGCTGTGTTCTGGCCACACAGCTTGCGCCTGGAACAGCACCTGGCACATGACGGGCACTCAGTCTACACTTCCCTACAGAAATTACGAATATCTACGCTTTTTACCAGCGGGAATTATTTTACAACATAAAAGGCTTTACGGACAGAAAATCAGACTTACATATTCAATAATTACAGAAGTTTTAGCAGCTCATTTTTTAAATATAAAATATTTAGAAACTGTATTTTTAAGCCCCTAGTTTGATAATCCAAAAAGAGTTTACTCACCAACCGTAAGTTTTTTCTGGTTTAGGAATGGGATCATCAAAGAAAGAATCCCCTTCCATATCATCTTCATCTGGACAAAGACCCGCTTTGTCTTTGACATCTAGACTTTTGTTATTTAAGAAAGATCCAGTTTTCGTTTCGTGGGCCAGCAAGCGGAGACCACCTTTGCTCTTTGGTTCTGATGAGGAGACACTCGTATCACTCTGACTAGCATCATTACTGACCTTCTAGAAAAAGAAATGGGAAAGAGAAGAGGCCTCCTTGGTGAAATAAAACATTAATAAGCTATTTTAAATAGCAAAATGTCACATAAACATACACAAATCTGTGTCTACGTGTGCAAGTGCATGAGGGGGAGAGTAACTCCAGGACCTAACAGTTCACCCCCAGTTCATAGCATGGCCAATTTCTGAAGGAGAAAATGTGCATAATGATGTGTTCAGGCCATTCTTTGTCTCCCGCCCTAAATGGAAATATCTTTACCTATTCCATTTATAAACAACTTCTGCATTTCCTCTTAAAGGCACATCACTCCTTCGAAAATTATCTTAAAAATGAGTAAATTTCCAACTTGTAGAAAAGAGAAGGCATTACTAGTAACGGAGGAAGAGTAGTTCACATACATGAACCAAGTACTAAAGCGTCCATCAGTAAAAACAGCAGTTTTCCACCCAGGGCAAATGCGACAGGTGTCAGGGTGAAAGATGTCGCCTTTCCCACTGCCGTCCGAAGGTAGACTGGCTACTGAAAGTGCTGGTCTGGATTCAGACTCTCAGATAACTTCCTCTCGTGCCCAGGGACCTGCGCCATGGAGGTCTCCAGGCATCTTGAATCATACAAAATACTCAAGCATTTTTACACCCATCCCGCTGATCTGGTGATGTTGGCACAAAACAGCCCAGTGCATTTCTCGTTGCCCAAGGCCTTTTTACTCCATGCTTGGTCAGACTGTCTATGTCAATAACAAAAGTAACAGCAAACACAAACAACCATGCTTGTCACTACAGAGGGAGCTGACATTTCTGGAGCGCCTTCCGGTCCTCCCACAGGTTACGTCCTTCTCACTCTCAAAAGCAGCCTACGGTGCGGGAGGAACAGGTTCTGGCTTCTCTGCAGATACGGAAGAGGCGGCATGCAGACATTCCAGTCATGTGCCAAGGTCCCCAGAAAGTGAAAGGGTCAGGTCAATATGGAAGTCTGATTCCAGAGCTTAGCTCGTAACACTTAGGTCACGCTATTCAGTTGAGTCGTATGAAAATAGAGCTTCTGTGGGTTAAAACGGACAATTTCCCAAGATTCAGCCTTGCACACTGAAGAGGGCCGTGCTGTGTACAAGGCCTGTGGTGTGCGAGAGAAGACTCTCCTGAGCGGTGCGGGGGGCAGGCCGGCCATCCTCCACGACTGACCACGCGATCCTAAGGAACTGCCTGTTTGCAGGCATTGAGTGTCCCCAAGAATTCAACCAGAGCAGGCTCTTCCAAACCTGGCTACTGCTGGGAGCTAAAAAAGAAGGCGTGTGCAGCTGGGGAGAAGTTTCTGGAGAAGACACTCCCTGAGGAGGACTGCCCTTTCAGTATGCGTAGAGACAGAATGGAGCGCGTATGAAAACGCACGTTTACAACAGGCAGAGGCCAGCATTAGCCGAGAGCAGGCAAGACATATGCTATACAATTTCTAGGGCCTTGTACAGAAATTAATTATTGTAAAAGACATGTCTGGAAAAATAAACACCAAGTTATCATCTTTTAGACAACACAGGCTATTTTCCAAGGGCAGAAACATTTTACAACTTTCTTGAAATTTTCCTGGTAGGATCAAATACAGAGAAGCACTACCCTCTTACATATTCCTTAGATTCATGGCCACTGTAATTTATGATTTATAAATGTTGAAAACTGGATTTATAGATTTTCAAAGACATATGCATTTGGAAATAAATACCAAGTCTTGTGATACTTAAACCCATTTACAATTTAGATCCTGAGAGATCTATTCTCTCCATCAAAACACTCCTGAGAAAATTGAGGACAGACTGGTGTGAAAATAAAATGGAATGGAATGTACATGTAAAGCAACTTTACAAAAAAACCACACTTATTCCAATAAAGTCTGCCTTCCCCATGAATTCACACATTACCAACATAACTTAAGTCCACATGATGAACTATCTAAACTTAGTAACTACCATCTACCCATGACTAGTTTTTGACTGCATTCAGCCATATCCCTGCTATAGGAACAAAGACTAGTTTGAGGAAGACAAGTTTCATGGACAAGCACACTCTGATGTTCAGCACAGTATGTATTTTTAAAAATAATTAGTTTGCTTTAAAACTATAGTTCTAGTTATCTAGGGAGTAAAATTTAAAAACACTTGATCTGTTTCGGAACTGTTTTCAAAATCCATTTCTAAACCACACAGAAATGTGTCATTTTAACTATGGCTACCTATTTACCAATAGGACCGTTACTCAGTTGGGTTACTAAGGAATTCACTAAACTGAATTCCAAATCACTTTTAGGTTAGAAAAAAATTCACACCAAGAGAAAGATTTATCATAACATCTATAAATTAACACTCAAGTACTACAGAACTTTAAGAGCAATTTTGCAGGAAATCCAAATCTTTTGGGCAACAAGAAATCAAGTCATGACATAAACCCTGGGATCTGTTTTAAAAACCTTAAGTTTTAAGGCATTGTCCGGGGATTTTTGTTACACACCTTTGTTTCAAACAGTGCTTAATTTTAACTATTTAGATTCCTCCTGAACTTAGCTCCAGTTTATCCACATCTAAATGGTAGTAAGGCAAGTAACTAATGTTATGTGTATAGAACAAAGACTTGCCTTGGCATTCATTCCCTGGATAGCCTCACAGGCCTTGGCAGTTACGGGTTCAACGATGTCTCCTGGAACAGATGAAGCCCTAACTCCCGTACTTCAGAGCGTGCCCTCACTTACAAATAGGGTCGCGACAGATGTAACTAGTTATGATGGGTCACGCTGCAGGAGGCAGGCCCCTAATCCACTGTGCCCAGTACCCAACAAGAGAGGACACTTGGGGAGAACACATGTGAACAGGACGGCGGGGATGGGGTGATGGGTCTACAAGGCAAGGAACGCCTGGGACTGCCAGCAAGAGACTCTCGTCCCAGCCCGCAGGGGGAGCCTGCTGCACCATTACCCTGATTTCAAACCTGCAGCCTCCAGAACCACGAGACACTAAATGTCTTGTTGTTTTAAGTCACCAAGTTTGTGTACCTTCTCACGGCAGCCCTACGTATAGGTGTTTATATTAAATAACTAAAACCTATAATAAAGTTTGTCTTTTCAGAAAACCGAGAAACCTACTGAACAGCAGTTGTTACATTCCCTTGGACCAATCTCAAGACTAAAACTTCACGGTGAATTACTGTGAAGCTGTAAGAAAGTTTGAGCATATACTTAATGGTCTACAAGTACACTTACACATCTGGATTTCAGTCATTTCTAGATTAACAGAAAATGAGCCTCACAGAGAAAGAAGTTTCCCAGTGCCAAAACATGAATTATCACTAGAGCATCTTAAGAACCTAAAAAAAATAATAATTTTGTTTTTCCAAGCTCATAACAGAGAAACATCAAAGCTAAAGAAATACCCTAGTTTTGCAAAAGTATTTAAAAAATGCATGGGTATTAATTCCCTTCCCCATCCACACCTCAAGGCCCCAGCTCTCCTCTCCCACCCCACCAAAGGCCTTTTCTTGACCCGATTTAAACAATTCTACCACAGCTGTAACACACATATATTTAAAATTTATTCACCTAGAACATAAACACTGTAGGATTCTAGAACCAGAAAACAAACATTTAAACTCTTCTAAAAACTCAGTGTTTCTAGAAATCCTGTCTGTATGCTCTACAGACTATCTGTAATTCCTGTAGATTCGTATCTCTGGCTCTGACACCGGACTTGAAAATGACCCTCTGCACAGATGCTCCGCTCCATCACCCGGTCCAGCCAGCAGCCTGGGGGCCAGCAGGGAATGCCCGCTGTCCAGTCTCAGATCTGAAGCAGCTGGAAACGCGGAGCTGGCCAGGCACAAGGGCGAAGGGTTGGGAATACTGTTCACCCAAGTGTATTCATCCGTCCCGGAGAGAGAGAGAGAGAGAGAGAGAGAGAGAGAGAGAGAGAGAGAGTGTGTGTGTGTATAAGGGAATGACAGTGAATGGTTTATCTAGAAAGCCCTGTCTAGACTGAAAAGACCCACAAATATGCCTGCCCTCCCACCCCCAAACATATATACATTGTGGTCTTCATCACTGCCCTTAATCAGCTTATCCCAGAATTTTGAAAACAAGGAATAACAAATTTAAAAAGTCCTTTTAAAGGAACTGGAAGCAAAAAGTACCTCAACACACACTAGTTCTAAAATACCTGAGAACTGATTACAAAAAGGATGACCTTTCCTATTACTAATGTAGTGATAAAAAACATCTTAATCTAAGTATTACAAACAAAAAGCATCTAATAACATCTTAAATAACAAACCTAAATTAGTAGAACCTACCAAAAGTCTGTTGTCATTTTTGATATGCATTTTTTTTCCTCAGACAACTGGCACCATGTTTGGTAGAACAAAAGGGTTTACACTGAAATAGACTATTACAGACGATACCTTGGAAGTAAGTGTTAATATAGACTTGGAATGTTTAAAGAAACGCCCTCCCACCGAATACTTCTCCACTGAGTATTCCAATTCTCCCACCCATCCTTTACTGTCTCACAACAGTAACAAAAACTTTTATTTGCACCCAACTTAAATTCCTTCAAAAACCTTGTATTTTGCTCTGCACTTTGACAGGTTTATAATAGCAAGTACAAATCAATTATTTATACACACACACACACGCACATGTATATGTATATATGGATAACCTTTAAAGTTCATTTCTGAAATGAATATAACTTCTCTGAAAGCCACCAAGGATCTCTGAATGAGCCATTAATACTGTGCCTTCCTGTACGCAAAAGAAGTAACAAGACACATCAACAGTCCTTGTTCAATGTCCTGGGCTCTCCTGCTGCCCCGCTCATGGTCCCTTCACTGCACGCCTGGCTCATGGCAGGCAGGGTTACTACCACTTAGAGCTCTGCACAACTGGGAAATGCCACCTAGCTCCCCTGTGGATGGCTCCCCCGGGAGTCTTGCTACGTACCTCAATGACCACATGCAGCATGGCATTCAAATATTAAGATGTTAAGAATGTTAGGATATTAAGGATCTGCAAACCTACTGCATGCCTGAGGCAAAGCAGAAAGGCTGAGCAATGAAGAGCCACGGGCTCACCTGCCAGGCTGGAAAACAGGCAATGCTGGGTATAATACAGACTTAGAAAGGCAATTCAGAAAAAAAATCAAGGAAGTGGAGGGGAAAAAAAGGCTCCAAAGTGACTAAGTATCTTGGGTCAAGAATACAAAAAATGAAATAAAAGGGGCTGGACGGAGAGCCCACAACTGCAGGGCAGGGCCCGTCCAGATCCCTCAGTCACCCCCGAGGTCAGGGGAGCCCCACGCGGCCTGCCCGCGGCAGAGCTGGCAGTCTGCTGGGGCACCACAGCTGCGTGCTGGGAAGTGAAAAGTGAAAATCCGTCTTTTAATGTGCTTTGGTTTAGACAATGTACAGACTTCAAAATGTTTTAACCGATAAGTGAGAAAAACTTAATACTATGAAATATGCTTTTAACTTTCTTAAATAAAAGTCCAAGAAGTTGATTAAAAGTATCTTTAAAAATATGCTGTTTTATTTTCTTAGTCATCTTTCTTAAGGTGGGTCTCACCTCTCCAATTAGACTGTCACCTGCCGCAGTGGGGCCCACAGTGACTCTGTCTTGACCGCAGCCCTTCACACAGCAACTCCCACCAGGTAACTGGTCACACATACTTGCTAATTAATGCTCTAAATTGTCTTCTCGTGTAGTAACACATAAAAATAATGTAACAAATAGAATAAGGGGAATCTACCAGTGAAACCACTAGAACTTAAAGCCAGCTAAGACAGCAGATACAATTTTTAAAAACCCTTTGATTTTGAAGATCTTCAATAATCTATACATAACCTAAGGTTCAACAAGAACCAAAGATTCTTACAGCACTAAAAATTAAATATCTTAAGTATCTTATTCTAAACGAATGTGAAAAGTATACTGACGAGTAGTGCTTCTAAGACCTGTAATACTTAAATTTTAAAAGCAGCTAATCTACTGGCTTAGTTGATTTTTGTCATGATTTCGGGAGGAAAAAAAAAGCAGCCAAGGCCCCATCACTGCAGAATCAGCTCGCCCAGCCCTGCGTGTCCCCGCGGGTCTCCTGTGAGCCAGGGCTTCCAGGGAAGGCTAACCGATGTGCAATGGTCTGATACACCGCCAAATGCTCAACACAAACAAAAATGTCTTGAAAGAAACTAAGTTTAGCCTTTAATTTATCAATTGAAACTTACCCAAAAAGTAGTTTGATACGCTATTTACCTCAGATAAAAATCATAACGTTAAGAATATGTATATGACCATCCATTCAAAAGGAAAATATTTTCAACTTTATTGCCAACAAAACAAGGAATTCTCAAAGTAAAACTGACAGCACATTTTTAAAATCCAACAGTATGATTTTCACCTGGATAAAAATCGAAAAGTCAAATTACTTTTTGTTTTACGCCCCATGACTCGATCATATTCTGATTACAGCTGGAAGGCAGTGACATTGGCACAGAAAACTGAACCCTGGGCCAACAGGGATTCAGTGCCCGCTAGGAGCCCACAGAGTTGGCGGTCTGCTGTGGCAGAGGCTGCTTTTTTCCTCTGCCCTCATGCATGTTACCTTGGCACCAGACTTCTGCCCGCTTGTCTTCTTCTTACCTTGTCCTTTATACCTTGGTATCTGAGCATGAGAATAAAATGACATTTTACCAAAAAGTATAAATCTTTACAAAGAAACTAATCCATAACCAAACTAATAAAAGTTTCCTATTAGAAAAGCTCTCAAGGGGGCACCTGGGTGGCTCAGTCAGTGAAGTGTCTGACTTAGCTCAGGTCATGATCTCAGGGTCCTGGGATCGAGTCCCGCATTGGGCTCCCTGCTCAGCGGAGAGTCTGCTTCTCCCTCTGCCTGCCGCTCCCCCTGCTTATTCTCTCTCTCTCTCTGCCAAATAAATAAATAAAATCTTTAAAAAAAAAAAAAAGCTCTTAAGAATGGAAAACCTAATCAATATGTTCCTTTCTGAAACGCACATTTTTTTTCTCCTTCCTGAATTCTCTTCTCCTGCAGTGGTTCACCCTGCGTGTAACTACCATGCCTCGCAGTGACTGGGCCCGCACCCCCCGCCCCGCCCCACGGCAGCCTAGTGCAGAACCACACCTCGGCCGGCGCTCCACGGCAAAGCCAGGCCTGGCCTCCGGAGCAGCCTCCCCGAAGAGCAGCCCCGGCCTCGCCTTGCTCGGGAGCACACAAAGCGGTTCCTGCAGGCCGGGCAGGACCCTCGGCTTGGCCACAACGTCCCACAGCCCCAAAGCCCCGAATGCTCTCCGTGGCACGCAGCCTGACAAGGTACCCTGAGAGCCCAAGATGATTCAAAGACCACTGAGAGAGAAAAGAGAGCTAGCAAGAAACAGGTGGGGAAAGCGCTGAAACCCCAAATCCACATCCTCAGAACTACAGGGAACTGCAGCTCACCTGCCAGCAGAAGGCCTCCTCTTGACACAAGTCAGCCACAGCCCTGCGGACACGGCCACTGCCCCACGGGCCTCCCCGCCGCACGGGGAGCCGACAGGAGGCGGTGAGCGCGAGGGGACAGCTGGAGGACAGCTTACTGCTCTCCAAACCCACCTTGGTAACTACCGGCACTTCTCTGTATTTAAGGCAACATTTCCTGACTTAAAAGATTCTCATCGTAATTCTTAAGATCTTGAAAATAAAATTTGTGTAGAGAAAGTATGTCAAAGACTTTAATCTGTTATCCTGAAGATACACCACATGTAGAAGGTTCATGTTGCTAATTTGCTTTACAAAATAATAACTGGCCAAAAAGAGAACTTCCAAACAGCTCAATTCTACAGGTACTGATATTGTGGAATAAGCATTAATTTTAACCCCTTCACAGCCAGACATGTTCACAGAAAGCAAAGCTTTTTTACCAAGGCTCCTATATCTGACAATTCATTTAAAGGGACTTTTTAAATTTACTCACAACCTTGCTCCCTCTGTAACCATGGTGACAGCCTCCCATGAGCATTGAGGGAAAGGCCTCCCCACAGTGAAGGCTAACCAGATCTCAGAGAGAAGGGACACCTACAAACAGCATGATGGTCTCTTCCCTCGGCTGCCAATAAAGCATAAAATCCTTTGATTTCCAAATTGAAAAAAATGAAAAGGAGCAACACCATAAAGACCCAGCGACAAAACAACAGGGACCACTCACTGGTGTCTGAGCCCAGGCATCTGAAAGAGAGAGAAACCCTCTAGAAGCCACCTAGTTGAAGAGGTACCGCTGTGCCCACAAGTCAGTGCAGCACCATCGTGCCCCAGGGCACCACCCGCATCCTGCAGAATGGGAGTCACAGCAGCCTTCACGGCACAACCTGACCCAAACCCGTCCTTGGGTACAACCGGTTGGTTGTACCAACACACAGGGCGCTGCAACCAGTCCCGAGACAACATATCCCCTAACGATCACCGTTCCTGTGATCCTGGACTTGAAATTCCAGTGTTCCACTCAGCATTTTTCTCCAGTATGCCAAATTCCGGCAATCAGAGAGCCTTAACTTTAACAACCCATAAACCACACACACACACACACGCACGCGCACACACACACACACCCAGGGCATATGTATTTTCTTATAAATCCTCAAAATAGCTCATTAATATAAAAAAACCACTATAATTTACAATTCTAAACTGGTCATCCATCTACAATACTCAACACCACAATATTCTGGAACAACAGTCTAGAACCTAGTATCCTCAAGCTAGGGATTTATAAATGAAAAATAAATCCTCTTGTCAACTGAGGAAGAAAATTTTCAAAGTACCAAACGAGTCCAAATATCTCACAATTCTGTGATTCAGCAGTGCATTCCTTTCTATGACACAAAATTCAAAAAAACTACCAACAAACTGAAGTAATTGTTATAAATATATGCTTCATTAAGGGGAGAAAAGCAATTTCAAGAAACTACACAGCATTTTCATTACAAAACAAAACCTGGAACAAGGAGGACGAGGGTGAGAAAAGCAGAGCCCCGTGGAGTCTGAGCGCAGAAGTCCTCGTACCCGCGGCCCACTCACCTTACTGGCACCGCTGTGAGCACTTGCTTTGCCTTCTGGTGACTTCGGTGGAGAATGTACATCAGACAGATCTAGTGCACCCTAAAATATTTCACAGTTTAAGATTAAAACATAGTTTAAACTAAAACATAAATACACTACTAAGCCTCAACAGCATTTTAGCATTGAAAACCACTACACAATACTGATGTTTTTAACTCTTTCTAAATTACGTAAATATTCTCACTAGATTTTCCCCAATTTTACTCAAACAAAAACAAAACAAAACACACTTAGATTCTAATGACCTACGTATTTGACCCAGTCATCTTGAACAGGCCGCTCAGTCGCGGGGTCAAGGTGCCCCGGACGAAGCCCTCGCTCAGGACCCGGCGGTCCGCACCAGCCCTGTCCTGTGATTCGCACACAGCTACTCCTTCGCCCCTGCCAGACTCGCGGCCTCCTTCACTCTGTCTCCAGAACATCAAACAGCGGCGGGGTCGGAAAGCACGCCCCCCTTTTCAAAGCACCACACTCCCCTTCCTCCTCTGCACGCTCATGCCACCCTCTCACCTCTTAGAGCCCGGGGGCTGGTCTGGCCACGCCACCGAGCTGCACGGCCACCAGACCGCGCCGCACGGGACCGAACCGCAACGCAGAGCCACCGCGGGGATTGGCACACCGCCACACCGCACCGCACGGCAGCATCACGAACCCACCACGTTCGGGGCACCCGCTGGTCACTTCTCAGCGCTATGCTAAACGCATAGTGAATGGAATGGAATGGAAGTGACCTAAAATTCATCCATTACATCATTAGCAGCTCTGTGCACTGTGTGCATATTAAATATTGGCTATTTTGCTTTAAAAATCCTACTCCTGTCTACAGCTCTTTAAACACGACAATGTGCTGCTCGTCATACCTTCTGCTCCTCCCTTGAGCAGCGTGACTTCTGGTATGGCATCATCTTCTCCCAGGCAGAAAACCTCATTTCACCTTTGCAAATTTTTCTTCTTCCCATATTACCCTCTGAGACCCCAACCCTCTGCCGTAATATTAATTTACCAAGTCTTACTGCTTCTTCCTTTAAAGGGGAATCTTTATCTGCCCATTTGCTTCTGCATTTACTGCCACAATCATTCCTGTCTAAATTTGCCTTCTAGTGGATTTCACTTCTCCCAGTCTTTGAACTTCTCCCAATTTCACCATCTAACCTTCACAAATTCATCTTCCAAACAAGTACTTCCTCTGTACAAAAGTCTGCAAAAGCTTCCCACTGACCTTGAACACATTATCTGTGAAGAATCCCCATTGGGGGCACTTGGGTGGCTCAGTGGCTGAGCGTCTAACTCTTGGTTTCGGCTCAGGTCATGATCTCAGGGTCATGGGATCTAGCCCCTTGTCGGGGCTCTGCACTCAGCGGGGAGTCTGCTTCAGATTCTTTCTCCCTCTGCCCCTCCCCACCATGTGCGCTTTCTCTAAAATAAATAAATCTTTAAAAAAAAAAAAAGAAGAAGAAGAATCCCTGTTGGGTTGGACCCTGCAAAGGATACAAAGGTGAGCCCAAGCCCTTGTCCCCAGCCAAGGGATGACGTGGGGAGGGACGGGCAACCGCAGGGGGCTGCCACACCCACGCAGAGCCAGGCACTCAGTTACAACAGCTGCCAGCAGAGAGAGAGGAAGAACAAGAAACATCCCAGAAGGCAGAGTGGAAGAGAGACCGTGAATGACAACATTCCACAGCTGGGTATGGGGATGATGCACCATTTTAGGTGGAGAGCAGATGAGGAAAAGGCAAGAAAGCAAAAGCCACTTTCAAGTATAAGCAAGTCTGGCTGAAGCACAAGGTTTCACGTTTCAAATAAAGGCATAAGGCTAGAAAGATGAGTAGGCACCGCATCACACAGGACCTTAACATCAAGGCTGAGGAATCTGGAAACTATCTAGTTGCCATTACACAGTGATTGCAATTTTTAAAGTGGAAAGGAACAGATAAAAGGCTGAACCTTAAAATGAAGTCAACAAGCATGAAGGACGCAGAGTGACTGCTGGCCGTGCCCGCAGGGGTGCTGGGAAGCAGGACCGGAGTGACTGCAAGGTGCTCACGGGTAGGGAGGGGGCTCACCCGGGGCAGCGCGGCAAACAACCAAGTGCTGGGATTCTCCACGCTGGGGAACATCCAACACCCTGCAAAATCAACTCAAAGTCACGGTAAAGGACGTGGGGCATAGCAACCTGATTCTTAAGGTGGTCTGAAAATGCACTTTTGGCAAAAGCATCACTAACGGAGTTCAATGCGCTGAATCCACAGCTAATCTTCTTCTCCAGCATCAGACGTCAAAGGTTAATAAAACCTAAAGAAAGGTGTCCCCTCGAAGTTATAAACACTAGTGAAGATGGAAAAGCCAAAATGGACACCTGTGAGTTCCCTATCTTAAATATGAATTTGACCACTGATTTATGTGTGTATACACATACACACAACCAATTAAAAGGACATACCCCAATATTCAGAGGAGAAAAGTAGCAAAGAGTGGGTATTTCACAATGGTTTCAAACTTTAAAGAAGTAAAACAATGACTTCTTGAAGCTATAAAAATCTTCTCCTGTGTCCGTTTGACAGAAACCCAGCTCTGAAACAGGGTAAACTGACTGGGGAGGCTTCGGATCCACCAGTCAGAAAGACATATAAAGAATAGGTTTATTGAGTTTTCACTTTCAGATCAACCCAACTAGACAAGAAATCTCTTACTGGGCCTCAGTTTGAGGCAGACGTCCTGGTTAGCAGCAAACGGAGTTTCCCAGTAACCAAGCTTGCTTTCTTCCACCATGCTGCTGGTACAGACGGGAGAGAGACTCCTTCCTGACAGAGGCCCGAACCGAGGGCACAGAGAGGCAGCTCCTTGGATTGAAACCGAGGAGTCACAGAAGCACAATCAACACGAACACAGAAATCTGGAGCAAGAACTGGAACTGGGTGGTTATCTGGGAGGACACATATTTTTCACACTTTGTTAGAGTGAAGTCTGTTTTTTCACACAGGATTCAGATGTGTTCGTGAGTTAACAAGGGATATGTGTGGGCAAGAGCTGGAGATTCTGGTTTCACGCTGGGGAAAGGACTGAGCTGGACGTAGGGAGCCATCAAACAGTAATGAGAAGAGAACCACCAACGGTGATGATGAAGGCAAAGACTCGCAGATCCCTGCATGCGAAGCACGGTTGCACAAGCTACCCTGACTCCCCTCGGTTCTCACCACCACCCGCAAAGCTGCTACTTCCATCGTCCCCATTTCGTGAGTGAGGAACCTAAAGCACGTGGAGGTTAAGTGTCTTCAGAGAGTCACACACAGGACACGGCAGAGCTGGGATGTGACCCCAAGCGTCCTAGCTCAGAGCCCACGCTCATGCTCGTGAGCTCAGGGACAGCACACGAGAGAACGGGGGCCACCAGCACCTCAGAGAGCTGAACCCAAGACCTGCTGCAGCACCCCCGCCCCCGCCATGCCCCACTTTCCGCTGCAGCGCCCCCTTCTCACCCCAGCGCCCAACCCCTGCTGCAGCATACCCCACCCCTGCTTCCCACTCCAGCGCCCCGCCCCAGTGCCCCACCCCAGCTCCCAGCCGCGGCACCCCGCTCCTGGCCCCAGCTCCCCGTAGCCGCCTCAGAACAGCTTCCCAGTCCTCTCCTCTCCTCTCACATGAAGACTGAGTTTAACAAAATTTCCACTTGGAAAACCCTTTAACTAAAACCGATTTGACTCCTAAAATGTGTGGTACTAACCATTTACTGTACACTCCCTCTATTATCGTAAGCCATCACTTACACGTCCATTCCCTTATGGGAACACATTTTATCTTTAATAACTCTCAATTCTTCTAGTCCAGGAAACTGTTTTATCTTTTCATTCAAAGCACCTGTTTGTTATGCCCTATATGCAACAGGTGCTCAGTCAGGCTCTCCTGATGTTCAAAGATTCTAACACAAAACACGCTCTGAGGCTCTCCACACAGAGCACAGCAAGTGCACAACCCTCCACATTCTTACTTATAAACCAGTGACTAAAAGCACACATTTAACCAGGTGTCTGAGACCGCTACCACATGGTCCACGTCTGTGAAACGGTCTCTCTCTGTGAAACTAACGTTTGTAACTAATAACTAAGAATCAGACTTACTCTCATTAGCAGTTCTCTAAAAAGGAGTAAGAAAAGCAGTAGCTAATCAAGAAAGCAGAAGTTTGAAAATGTTTAGAAACTAAGCACAATCAATAGCTTAAACAGCTTTAAGTCTATTTTTAAAAAGCCCTTAAGTTCAAAAAATTATTAAGTAGCCTCTAATTCAGCCCTGTTCTGTTTAAAATGGTAACAAGAGTACGACTAAGGAGCTGAGTGTTCTCTGCACTTGACAAGCACTACCCGTGCCTCCGGCCTCACAATGGCCACGAGGCGCCCGCTCTCCCGATGCCTCTCCCAATGCTGAACAGGGGGAGGCGGCCTGCTCTCCCGATGCCACACAGGGGGAGCCGGGGAGGGGCCTGCACGTCCGAAGCCAGCCAGCCAGTGGAGGAGCGCGGCTGGTTCCACACAGCCGGACCCCTGACCCCGACGCCCGAGTGCCCATCTGCAGAACAAGCGCGGCACCACACTCAGCTGCCGCGTCTCCAATTTTCATCAAAATGTGCCTTTATGTGATCTGACTGTGTTTTGTTTTGTTTTTAAGGAATAGCTTCTTTCCATTTAAACTTTGATTCACTATGTATGCAAAACTCTGCATGGCTACACTGAGCAGCCAATAATTAAAATAGAAAAAGATATCAGAGGCTAGAATTATACTTACCTCCCCATTGGTTGGCCCTTTTCCTTTCTGTTGACAACGTCTGATCACTTCTAATAATAAAGGTCCACCCACAGTACCTTCTGCTTCAATAATACCTAGATCTCGGGCTAAATTCTCTCGACCTTCAAGACCTTGAAACTAGAGAAGAGGTAAGATAGAACAAGATATAAATGCAGAGAAGTATGCAAATTATTTTCAGAGATTAAAGAAAAATATTTTGGGGACTTAAAGATATCTCTAAACACAGAGAGATCATTTTTATAATGAATAAAATGCCCATTTAAAAAAATTATATATTTCTTTTAACCAAGTCTCTACATCCAAAAATGGATGTATCTGACATCAGAACAAATTAATTCGACAAAACACTCCTTTCAAAGTTCTAAGAAGCAGCATGGGTACCAGCTATCTACAGCTCACATGGCTTTTAAGAAAAAGATAATCAACTACGAAAAATAATCTACATGCAAGACCCTATAAAGTGTCAAATGTTGTTAAGTTTCAGGTTATAATGAACTCATTTGTACCAAGGATGGTTTCAAAGAATAGATGTAAAAAATTCATGACTCTTACTGTGCTGGTTTCAGGCTGAAAAACGGCCAAGGTGAAGTCAAGATTGAAAAACTGGAGAAACTCTGCAACAAGACTAGCCACCAGCCGGCCTGCAAAACGTGAGAGGCGGTGAGCGCACCTGTGAGATCCCTGAAGCCCCCTTCACTAACACCACAGAGTAAGATTAATTAACTGAAGACAAGAGGTTTCTAAATTTAAATTATAAATTTATCTGTGAAGAACACCAGTAACGCAAATCTGAGTCCCGTGTTTTCATGAGGATCATCAGTTTGAAGCTAACTATTAATAAAACAACATAACATTTCATAAATGGATTAGAATATTTTGCTTCTTACGTAAAATTGGTTTTAACCAATTTCCCATGACCAAGAATATTCAAAACAACTTAACAGTTGTACAATAAAATATGATTTTAAAATGAGAACCTATAAGAATCACAGACTTCAAAAAATGTCTGAAACTCCTTGAGGCGCCTGGGTGGCTCAACTGGTTAGGTGTCTGCCTTTGACTCCAGGTCATAATCTCAGGGTCCTGGAATCGAGCCCTGGGTCAGGCTCCCTGCCTCAGGGAGGGGAGTCTGCTTCTCTCTCTCCCTCTGTCACCCCACCCCCCGTCATGTGCGCTCTCTCTCTCTCTCAAATAAATAAAATCTTAAAAAAAAAAAAAAAAAAAAAACTGAAACTCCTCATCTCTCCTAAATAGAGTCAACATTTGAAAATTCGGAGACAGACAAAATAAACAAGAACAAACTGAACATCTTACCATCTTTCGTATTTAAAAACTTTCTCAGGCTCTCATTGACTAGAGGAGTTTTGTTCTGTTAAAAAATGAAATATTATGTCATGCATTTATCCTAAAAACAACTACAAAATGTGGTTTAAAGTTTAATTTTTTGGCAGAGATGTAAGTAAAATACGGTCACTCATAAAATTACGGTTAAACCCACTCCACAACTATCGATTACTAAAGGAATTCTTTCATGCTATTTAATATCTCAAAGCTAATAAAATGAAACCACACATGAAAATTTGTATTTATTTTTAATTTTTAAATATGCCACAAATTGTTTATTAAACTACTTTAGAAGCTAGATCTTCAGATACTCATGTGAAATGGCAATACATTTACTTACAAAAACAACTGTTTATTATTCTAAGTACATGTTGACATTTTGTCATCATAGATATCTACCATTTATAGCATGCTTACTGTGAACAAGGACTCAAATTACACACTTGTTATTCGCAGCTCATCAGCAGTATGTGACATGATTTTGTGTAGTGCATAGGCCAACTTATTTTTGCCATTAGACGTTTATTTGAATAAATACAGAAAAAACACTTCTAGCTCACTCAAGCTTCTTTAAGCAGACTGAATGAATTATAGGTATAATGACAGTCTCATATTCTACTGATGGAATTATAAATGGTGCAATCACTTTGGAAAGTAGTCCAGTAAAGTTTTAAAGAGTTAGTACCCCTACCATATGACCCATCTGTAGGCATTTTCTCAAAATAAAAGCACAGATCCGAGCCAAGACATGTACTTGAATGTTCACAGAAGCCCTATTTATAATACTAGAAACTGGAAACAAGCCAAATGCTCATCAACAGATGAATGACTAAACAAACTGTCACATATCCATACAATAGACACTACACAGGAAAGGCAGAATGAACCATTAATACAAAGGACAATATGAACAAATCTCAAATGCATTATGCTGAATGAATGCAGCCAGATCAAAGAAGAAAAGAGAGTCTGTGCGGTAGGATCCCACATGTATGGCTCTTAAATACATGGGTGGCTCTGGGGTGTGTGGTGGGGGAGGGTGGTACAAAGGGGCTTGAAAAAGCTTTCAAGGGTCAAGGATACGTGCACTATCTTGACTGTTTCAAGGTTGCATAAATGTGTTAAAATGTAACACACCATACATTTAAGTATATTGAATTTACTGCAGGTCAACTGCACCTCAATAAAGTTTTTTAAAAAACCCAAAAAAGACAAGGAAGGGAAAGATCACAAAGGTCCTTAGTAGGTTGGTCTAGGAAATTTTAAGACACTGAGTCAACTGAAATATTTAAAGAAAATGGAGGAACAAGAGCAGATGTGTATTATAAACAGCCAAGCTAGGAGCACTGCAGAAAAAGGACTTCAGGAAGATGGTGAGGGACAAAAGCAAAAGGGAGACTGGAGAGAAGAAAGGGGTAAAGCAACCTGCAAAATAAATAGCTCAGCATAGAGTAGGAGGGCAGCAGAGAACCTCCTTAGACATCTCAGCTACAGAGCTGCCAGACAGAACCAGGCGAGCGACTGGATGCAGAGAAAGAGGAGCAAGGTCCAGGCAACTCTCCGATTTCTTGCTTGGATAAAAAGCAGTCCCCATAAGCAAGATCAGTGCAGCAGGCAGGGTCACATATGGGTCTGAAGCTCACGATATGGATCAAGGATATAGGGCTGAAGTTACTGGTATAATTAAGGTCATCCAGGGAGAGAGCACAGAATGAGCTACTGGAAAATACAGCAAGGATTTAAGTCAGGTGTAGAGGAAAAAGATCACACTAAAGAAACCAAGGAGTGCTCAAAAGGAAAAAAGAAGAGAACAGAAAAAAGTCCCAAAAATCAAGGGAGATTTTCAGGAAGGAAGGGAAGAATTAAGAATGTCAAATGCCACAAAGAACAACTAAGTTAGAACTAACACAGGCAAGAACTAAATATACTCAATAAGGAGATTCTTCTTGACCCCAGCAAAGGGAAGTCCTTAGATGTAGATTTAAGGCGAACTTAAGTGGATTTAAGATGTTAATGTATTAAAGCGTGCCTGGAACATAAGAAATAAGACATACACATTCTTTCAAAATTCGATTGTGAGGGAAAAAAATTGAGTGGTATTAAAAGGAGAACATGAGTTAAGGAAAACAGTTTTCTCCTTGAGAGAGATACAAACATGTTTCTATGCTCAAGAGAAGAACCAACAGCAAGGGAGAGGCCAAAGACACAGCAAGTGGTTGAGGAGCTGAGAGTACCTGGAAGGCAAAACCCAGAGAAAGTGACTATTCTTGGACAAGACAGAGAATCCTCCAGCAAAGCAGGAAGGAAGGGGTGGAGGTACATACAGATGCAGGGCAGCTTTTTCTGAGCTGAGTGACAGATCCGCAGGGGAAGACACAGAAAGTCAGGACCTGATGCCCCTATAGGCCAGCTGCTAAGAGTGCAGCAAACAGGAGAGGTGGAAGGCTAGAGCGCAGCTAAGTGAGAGTTCTGAGTGAAGAGGACTCCCGGCCCGCTCAGACCCTCGCTGAGGCACGCACCCGCCAGCTAGTCATGGCAGCAACCCAGTGCTGGGTGACTGCTCTAGGACGGACACGGCAAAAGCAGGGAGGGGAGTTAGGTTGCTCAATTAAATGACGTTTGCGGTTTTTCCCAGAGCAAGTACGGCTGGAAGGCAAGGAAGCTGGGGTTTCTTAAACATGGACCATAGAGTCCAGACAAGTCAACAGGGGGCAGCCGAGAGAAAACGGACACCTGGACAAACACAGAAGAGCCAAGAATCGAAGCACTTCATGAAGTTAAAGAGGAGCAGACACCTAAGTCTAAAGTGAGGAGGAGATTAGACGGATTTGTCACAGGAGCAAGGTGAAGACCCTGATTGTGGAGTATTTCTTGCTGACAAGTTCCAGGATATTTATTCAGAGTGGTGGGAAGACTTGAGGTGGAGAAAAAAAACTATATGCACTTACATAAAGAAGTGGTTGGACCTTTGACAGTGACAAAGAGCACATGATTTTAAAGTAACTGGGTGGTCAGAGAGTTGAGAAAAGTTACATACTATATTCCCCCACCGGTGGGCATTCACAATATATACGTACTGACATATTAGAGGGTCTGCAGGGTCTGCAGCAAACTCATTGGCAATGGAGCCCCTCCGACCTTGTTTTTCAGATCTCCCCTATGGAAAGGCATCTGCACCACCAAAGATCTACTACTGGCCCCAGAGTTACTATTGTACCTTGACTTTCTTTAGGCTACTCCAAAATCCTAAAATATAGACAAAAAGAGAGTAAGGTTGCCTCTCTTCCAGTAGTAAAAAAATGTAATCCTTAGTACTTCGAAATCATCCTTGGCTACACCCTGACGTGTGCAGTATTTTAGAATAACGTCTAAGTCATTGGAAATTAAACATAAGCGAATACGGTAATGTTAAAATCTGTCGATTTCATACCTCTACTTTTTCTTGCTCTTCCAATGCTAAAAACACAGCTGCTCGGAGTTCAGCCTTTTTTTAAAAACAAGGGGAAAGGGACAAAAACTGTTTCAAGGCAATTTTCATGACGAGAGGTGCATACGACGCAAGTCCCACAGGCACCGTCCCCACCATCTAAAGGCCAAAAAGCGAGAACCGACGAGACAGCAACGCCCGGCGGGCACGTGCGGAGGTAGGAGGCACCGCGAGACGCCCTCCCGCAGAAAGCCCCCGCCCCCCGCCCGGCCCCGCTTTCGCGGCCGCGGCGCCCCGCCAGCCACCGCCCGGCAGCTCGTCCCGCCCGCCGCGAGCGCACCCCCGGCCTCCGCGCGGCCCGCCCCCCGAGACCCGGCCCGGCCCCGCAAGGAGCCGCCCCCGCCCGCGGCCCAGACGCGACCCGCGCGACCCTCTGTGACGCCCGCCGCCCGCACAGGCCCTGCGGCCCGCGGGCGCGGCCGGCGTCCCCGCGGCCCGGCCCGGCCCGCTCCACCTTGATGCGGTTCAGGACCCCGCTGTTCTCCAGCGTCTGCACCAGCAGGTCTCGCAGCTCCGTGTCCTCCTCCGGCACCACCGCGGCCGCCGTCGCCGCCATCTTGCTTCTCCAGGACAACCGCCCAAGCCGCGCCAACGGCCAACGGCCGCCGCAGATTCCGCACGCCGCGCGGCGACGCGGCCGAGACCACGCCCCCCGCCCCGGCGCGAAGCCCGCCCTCGCGTCGGGGGCGGGGCCGAGGGGAAACGCGGAGGGGCGGGCCCCTGTGTCCGTGGAGGGCGGGGCCTGCGGCGGGGGCGGGGCCGAGGGGAAACGCAGAGGGGCGGGCCCGTGTGTCCGTGGAGGGCGGGGCCTGCGGCGGGGGCGGGGCCGAGGGGAAACGCAGAGGGGCGGGCCCGTGTGTCCGTGGAGGGCGGGGCCTGCGGCGGGGGCGGGGCCGAGGGGAAACGCAGAGGGGCGGGCCCCTGTGTCCGTGGAGGGCGGGGCCTGCGGCGGGGGCGGGGCCGAGGGGAAACGCAGAGGGGCGGGGCCCCCTGTGTCCGTGGGGGCGGGGCCTGCGGCGGGGGCGGGGCCGAGGGGAACGCAGAGGGGCGGGGCCTGCGGCGGGGGCGGGGCCGAGGGGAACGCAGAGGGGCGGGGCCCTGTGTGCGTGGGGCGGGGCCTGCGGCGGGGGCGGGGCCGAGGGGAACGCAGAGGGGCGGGGCCCTGTGTGCGTGGGGCGGGGCCTGCGGCGGGGGCGGGGCCGAGGGGAACGCAGAGGGGCGGGCCCGTGTGTCCGTGGAGGGCGGGGCCTGCGGCGGGGGCGGGGCCGAGGGGAAACGCAGAGGGGCGGGCCCGTGTGTCCGTGGAGGGCGGGGCCTGCGGCGGGGGCGGGGCCGAGGGGAAACGCAGAGGGGCGGGCCCGTGTGTCCGTGGAGGGCGGGGCCTGCGGCGGGGGCGGGGCCGAGGGGAAACGCAGAGGGGCGGGCCCCTGTGTCCGTGGAGGGCGGGGCCTGCGGCGGGGGCGGGGCCGAGGGGAAACGCAGAGGGGCGGGGCCCCCTGTGTCCGTGGGGTTGGGGCCTGCGGCGGGGGCGGGGCCGAGGGGAACGCAGAGGGGCGGGGCCTGCGGCGGGGGCGGGGCCGAGGGGAACGCAGAGGGGCGGGGCCCTGTGTGCGTGGGGCGGGGCCTGCGGCGGGGGCGGGGCCGAGGGGAACGCAGAGGGGCGGGGCCCTGTGTGCGTGGGGCGGGGCCTGCGGCGGGGGCGGGGCCGAGGGGAACGCAGAGGGGCGGGGCCCTGTGTCCGTGGAGGGCGGGGCCTGCGGCGGGGGCGGGGCCGAGGGGAACGCAGAGGGGCGGGCCCGTGTGTCCGTGGAGGGCGGGGCCTGCGGCGGGGGCGGGGCCGAGGGGAAACGCAGAGGGGCGGGCCCCTGTGTCCGTGGAGGGCGGGGCCTGCGGCGGGGGCGGGGCCGAGGGGAAACGCAGAGGGGCGGGGCCCCCTGTGTCCGTGGGGGCGGGGCCTGCGGCGGGGGCGGGGCCGAGGGGAACGCAGAGGGGCGGGGCCTGCGGCGGGGGCGGGGCCGAGGGGAACGCAGAGGGGCGGGGCCCTGTGTGCGTGGGGCGGGGCCTGCGGCGGGGGCGGGGCCGAGGGGAACGCAGAGGGGCGGGGCCCTGTGTGCGTGGGGCGGGGCCTGCGGCGGGGGCGGGGCCGAGGGGAACGCAGAGGGGCGGGGCCCTGTGTCCGTGGAGGGCGGGGCCTGCGGCGGGGGCGGGGCCGAGGGGAACGCAGAGGGGCGGGCCCGTGTGTCCGTGGAGGGCGGGGCCTGCGGCGGGGGCGGGGCCGAGGGGAAACGCAGAGGGGCGGGCCCGTGTGTCCGTGGAGGGCGGGGCCTGCGGCGGGGGCGGGGCCGAGGGGAAACGCAGAGGGGCGGGGGCCCCTGTGTGCGTGGGGGCGGGGCCTGCGGCGGGGGCGGGGCCGAGGGGAACGCAGAGGGGCGGGGCCCTGTGTGCGTGGGGCGGGGCCTGCGGCGGGGGCGGGGCCGAGGGGAACGCAGAGGGGCGGGGCCCCGTGTCCGTGGAGGGCGGGGCCTGCGGCGGGGGCGGGGCCTGCGGCGGGGGCGGGGCCTGTGTCTGTGGCTGGCCTCTGCTGACTGCGAGCTTCGAGGGCGGCGGTGAGGGTGGCCACGCAGCACTGCGGTGCCTCGTCATTAAAACCGTATTACCTCGCACGCATAAATAAACGCTAGACGCGTTCGCACAGGTTGAAAGGGACGCCCCGTCCTGCTCAGCTAGCCCCGGGCGGGACGGGGCGGGACGGGGCAGGCGGAGGATCTGTGTCCGAGGCCCGCGCGGGCTACCCGGGCAGGCACGCTGCAGCAGGCAGCGTCCTGATGTGGGCCTCGTTTCCGCCGTGCTGCCGAAATGTGTGCACATACACGCGGGCATGTGTGAGTGCGCACCGCTCGCCGCGCTAGAGCCTGCACACACAGGCATGCGTGCGTATATGTAAATGTGCGCATCAGGAGAGCGTGTGCAGACATGCGTGCGTGTGCACGCGCTCACCGAGAGAGCCCGTGCGTGCGTGCGTGCGTGCGTGTGTGTGCACGCGCTCCCACAGAGCCCGGGAGCAGGTCCTGGATACGCCTGAAGCGGGTAGAGGGAGCTTTCCTACTCACTGTCAGTCACAGGAACAGTTACAGTCAGTCACAGATCTCAGGAGAATAGGGGTCCACAGGACGGAATCATCAATTACAGGCCCCAACAAGGAAAACCGTGCCCTGCACCTCCTACAAAAAATCCAGCACAGCTGCAGTTCAGCCAATGAGAAATCATCCCCACCCTGAACTCTCCCTTTTCTCCAACCTTGGTTCAAAACAACCCCTTCCAGTTTCCTCCTTCTCCATAAAATAATGTTCCTCTCCTTTGTTTGGGGGACTTGCCCATGGTTTTGCCATAGCTTGCATGTCCTAAATTGCAGTTCTCTGTTATTCCCAAATAAACCCAGTTTTGATGGTAAAAAAAAAAAAAAAACCTGACTTCTATTTTTGAGGTTAACAATACATGGGTGTGTGGGTGACCATGTGCACACAGAGAGCGTGCATGTTTACACTGGAGTACAATGCAGATTACATATGGATGTGCAACATGCTATTGTACTCTTCTTTACACTCCGCGTGTTTCCTTAGTTTTGCAGTAACATGCTGGGAAAGTGAGGGAGCCCCAAAGTATGAGGAAGCTAATTAAGAAAAAGTGCAGATTCTGGAACCCTACCCTAGGCACCCTCCCTGGGTCTGCAGTAGGTCCTAGGAATCTTTATAAAACCCCAGGTGACCATAATGCCAGTGGTGGGGGAGGGGTCTGCAGATAGCTGTGTAAAGGAAGAAAGCAGAAGTGGAGACTTTCCGCCTCACCAGGCTCTTCTCCCCACTAGCAGCATCTGTTAAAATTGCTATATGTCTTTCCAGACAACCTTATATAGAAATCTGTTCCATACACCCGTAGTTCTCCCCTTGCATAATTTGCATCCCAGGCTTACTTTTTAATTTACCAAATTCACTTAACAAATCCTGACCACCTTTTGATATTTGTACACACAGATCCTACCTCCTCTTTAACTCCTGTGTAGTATTCTGTTGAGGGGTACTCCAAATACGAGTTTTTGTAATTACATTAGGGTTTGTTTGCATCGGTTCTGTTTGTTGTGCAAGTAGTGCATACTGATGGTTAAAAATCCGAACAAAATGGGGCGCCTGGGTGGCTCAGTTGTTACGAGTCTGCCTTCGGCTCAGGTCATGATCTCAGGGTCCAGGGATCCCTGCTCGGCGGGAAGCCTGCTTCTCCCTCTCCCACTCCCCCTGCTTGTGTTCCCTCTCTCGCTGTTTCTCTCTGTCAAATAAAATCTTTAAAAAAAAAAAATCTGAACAAAATGCACTTGTGATGAGCATCGGGTGATGTATGGAAGTGTTGAATCACTATATTGTACACCTGAAACTAAGACAACACTGTATGTTAACCAACTGGAATTAAAATAAAAAATTTTTTTAATCTATTGTCCTAACGCTCAGACTATTTATCATTAAGTATTTATAAAATATTTTTGAGGAACCTATCAAAATAATCCAAACAAAATGGGAAAATATTAAAAGAAAATAACGGTGTCCACATCTTTCCTGATCACCTACCCCTCACCCAGTCCCACACTCTAGACCCACCCACCATTAAGTTTGTTTTCGTTCTTCTGCTTCTTTTCATTATAACTCTGAATGCTATACTCCCACATCTTCACTCATCAACCATGAATGGTGCCTTCCAAAGAATGAAAATTTATCATCCAACTTCTATTTCTTAAAATTATGTTACTTTTAATTTTACTGGTGAGGATTTTGTGACTTTCAATTGTCTATCTTTATCATCATTTATCCATTCTACACATCAGCTATGCCTTTGAAATGGACTTTTTCCTGTACCATGGGCCCACCTCCAACTGCCAGCACCTGAGATGATTTGCCTGCTGGCTTTTCTGGCCACCGGAGCCTGCTCTGTCTGCATTTGGGGAAGGCCTGAAGCACCAGGGAAACACCCTCTCCTGAGGGCATCTCAGGCCACGAGTGCATGAGGACGCCCGCCCAGCTCGTTCCCCAGTAGGACGGGGTTCTCTGCTAGCCTCCATGGTTCAGGTCTGAGCTCCCGTTACCTGGAAATCTACTGGATAGCGCAGCCTTTACTGGTTTCCTACCTGCCCTGTCCCATTGCCCCCACTCCCCCTCCCCTCTTTCCCAGGCCTCCCCCTCGAATACACTGTTCACACTCAAATCCTTATCTCGTAGTCTACTTCTGGGGCACTCGAACCAAGACAGTTAGTCCAGACTCATTCCCGGGGATGAGGCCCTGGAACTGGATGGCCCACCAGCCAGATGGCAGCAAGGAGCCACTGCCCCTGTACGTGGGGTGGCCACAATCCCGGCACGCAGCGCAGCAGCTTGCTGGGAGGACTAAGCGGGGGAGGATGCGTGAAGGGGGACACTAGCTTGGGCCATCTCTCTAGCATCAGAGATGAGCACGGTGGCCATTTTAAAGATTCTGGAGTCGGGTTTTTTTTTTTTTTTTTTTTTTTTTTTTTTTTAAGGAAGAAGATGACAGGTTCAAGTCAGCCAACTCTCAACCTAGGGCATGGTGTAGAAACCACTCTTATGAGCCAGAAACTCCCAGGATACCAC